TAACAACTACCAAAGGGCACAAAAATATAATCTAATATACCCTGTTATTTTCATTTGGCCTCACATTTCATCCTTCAAATGATCTAAAAAGATTAAGTAGTTAATGCTGATGACAAAGTTCTGTTCTTTGTGAAATAATGTGTTGAATATTTATGTCCATCTTATTATTAATGCAGCATAATTCAATTTTCTCTGAACACCAAACCCACCTTTTCTCCCATAACTCTCAATGAATGATCTTGCAGCTTCCTTCATAGAAAAATAAAAGCTTTGCATAGTAAAGACCTCCAACTCCCCATAACAAAACATACAAATTTGCATGCATCTATACAAATCTTTTTTTTCCTTATGTTAAATAATTTAAAAACGTCTTCTAGAGCCAAAGTCTAATCACTCCACTTATGCTCAGGATTTCATGCTTTTGGGATACTTGGCAAACTCATTCTAAGAATTGCTCCTCCTGTAGCTTTAAGTTTTCTTGGTTTCTCTTCTATTATCATTTGATTGCTCAGTGCTTTCCGTTTAGGTTGGGTATGAGGGTGTGTGAGAGATAGGTGTAGAAGATACTCTTTTTTTTCCTGTCTTGGAGTTTCCATTCCAGCCTTTTGTTTCCTATCACCATCAAGTGCCTTGAAAGAGTTGCTGCATTCACCTTTTCATACTCCCTTCTTACTCCTCTATGGGCTTTTGCTAACACCATTCCCTCAACTTTCCAATACACAATATCCAGCTCTGCTCTTGCTTGGATCCTTGACAGGATTCTACATATCATAGTTGACAATGCCCTTGTTCAAAGACTGTCTTCCTGGGCCTTACATAAAGAAAGGTTTCTGGCTCCCTTCCTTCTCAGATTTCTGTGCAGGTTCCCCGTCTCTATCTACCTTGCCAGGTGCCAATCCTCGATGCCCCAACCCAGGATCATACATTCACTCCCATGGCTTCAGTCACCATCTCTTTGCTCATTGTTCAAATCTCTTTTCTATATTCACAAATCCAAAATCCTGCCAAACATTTCCACCTCAACCTCAGCCTATTCAGAACTGAATCCATTGTGTTTTCCCCATAAGTTTTTTTTTTTTTTTCTTTTTGCTGATGTGTCCTCTTGGTGAAGGTGCCTGACTGGTATTGTCAGCAATCTGTAACTTCACCTTCTCTGCCACCTCCCTTGCATTTGCAACACTCAATTAATCACCAAACATTGCCATTTGTTTC